CTTCTGAATCGGAAAGGCGCCGCCGCACTCCTTCACTGCTTTCCATGATATCAACTTCGGTCCCCCGAAATGTCCAAAATCAGCGAGAGTTCAGACTGGCTCCGACAGGGTGGGCGAGGGTCTACGTCTGATGAGAAGGATCAACGTCCCCATTGCCCGTCCCAGCTCCGGCTTCTCGGCTGCACACGCGCCGGGTGATCCGCCAAGCTAACCCCGGGCTCCATCTCGAGCCCTCGCACGCCCCACCACGCCCCACCCGTCGGGCTCCGTCTCCGCCCCCTCTAAAGCGGGGACCCTGCAGCCTGTACCTTTAAGAGCAGTCGAACATTCCGTTCGAGGGTACAGCAGGTTGGTGGATCACGTGACCCCACTGGAGCGTCCACGGTCACGTGATTGGCGGTCCTCATCACTTCCGGGTCCTTTCTCTAGCTTCGCTATAGGATTTTCCAGATTCGAGACTTGGGACAGAGGGAGACCGGGGGAACCCTGGAATCGCTGGTTTAATACTGGAGCGAGTGAGGTCAGCAGGAAGAGCCATGGCATTCAATTAGTGGCGCCCAAGTTGGTAAGGGTTAGCCTGCCAGCACTAGTTATGGCTGGAAGAAGCTTCAACTGTTTTGGGGGCCCTCACTTGCCAGAAACAAAGATGGCAACCCGGGCTTCTCGTTACAAACGGGCCTGTTACCTGTCTGGAAATAAAGACTGTTTCAAGTCATTCTGACTCCTATCCTGTAGATTTCTTTAGAAACCGAAAATAATGATAACATCCATATAAAGGGATTTAGTGAATCATCTATTGGCAGCGTCCAAGGCATTACCACATCTTTTGCCCCCACGCTATCCTGAAACAAAAGCATTGCACCAATATAATAAGCTAAAAAGTAGACGCACACCCGGTTTTACAAATGACAAAATCAAGCTACAAAAAAGAAAGAAAGAAAATTTACCCACGATTCTACAGCATTAGACCTACAGGTGACCTTAGAAAGCCTTTTAACAATACAAAATGGAGCCCCAACGTAGGGATGCCAACTGCAGAAGCCTGACTGAATCAAGGGTTCTTAGATCCAAAGATCTGATTCTGTGATCTCAGCTAGTTCCTCTAATTGGAAATTAGGGAAGTGGGACTGGGGAGTGAGAAATGGGGAAAGAGATGTGGATAAAGGTCATATCATATAGTTCCAAAAAAGGAGTGATTCTCTTACCTTCCTCTAGGTGGTAAAGCAGCATCCTGATTTTCCTTCCGTCATTCCTCTGCTAATCTCTTCTAGAAGCTTCTAATAGCCAGTACCCACCTCTACAAACTTTTTCTCACCACCAAACCTTCAGACTGCTGTTTGAAATATGCCCCTTTTGATCTGCTTCCTACATTACTTGGCCAATGAAAAATGGGGTTCTACCACCCATGCAGGGTCCTAGAAATTCAGCCACACATTATACATGGACTCAAGGAAATTGCTGGAAGGTGGGAGGTAGATATTAAAAAAACACACACAATGCAAAACTTAGCCAAGTTTTGTTTTGCAAGAATGAGCACAGATGAGGGGATGGGCATTGGAGGTGCCAATCCAGTCCCTTCTTCCCCTTGGGGAAACATGAATGACCCAGAAATAAGAAGCCAGAACTCTCACCATGCCCCTCTTCACTCCTGCCTCTTGTCCCCGGGCAAAACAGGAACCACAAACCCCAGCTTCCTCTCATAAGTGGCTGTGGCTTAGGGGGGGAACGGAAATGGCTGAGGTGTAAATACAAGACCTGAGTCATTTGAGCTGCAGTTGTTACATGCCCCCTCCCCCACCCCCAATTCTGAGGTCTCCTGCTCCCATTTTTTTCTGTTTGCTCCTATCCCTTGTCCTTCAGCTCTAATGTACACCTGAGCCCTCTCCATGATGGCCACCTATTTCCAGGCCTGGGCTGGCAGCCACTGTGGGTATTGCAGAGGGTGGGCAGGGCTTGGGGTGGTATGTGTCAGGGAGGGACCGGGGGAAGAGGAAGTGTCTTGGGTCTTGGGGAAGACTGGCTTGTTTGGTGAGTGGGGACGGTCATTGTCAGCTTTCTGGACACACAGAGACAGACAGGATGGATTTCCTCCGGCAACATCTCCCTGGGCTGCATCAGGCCTTGAGGGGAGCACTGGTGAGAGGGGCAAAGAGATGCCAAGACTTTCACTCTGCTCCCTGGGGCCTCACCTTCCTCGCTCCCTCCTCCCTGGGAGCCTCTACTTAGACTTGAAATTCCTTCCCCTAGATCATGTATCCTCTTACCCCAGTCTTTTCTAGATTTCAATCTCCCACTTCCACAAACACATCCATATACCCCTAATTTAGGTCCTTTCCTTTCTTTCCACAAATCCTATTCTCCCTCTCTTCCCAGATTCCAGAACCCCTCTTATCCTGAGCTCCTCCAGCAAGAGGTCCAGGTCCCCCCTTAAAGCCTTTATCCCTTCCTCTTTTCTTCTAGGAGTCCTTGAGTACCTTTGTCTCCTACCTTATGGGAGATGAGGTCCCAACTGTAGAGAGGAGGGAAGCACAAGCAGCTGCAGAACTGGGGGAGGTGACTGCAGGAAGGCCAGAGAAGCCTGTTGAGGAGGAAGCCCAGGAGGCCCTGGAGGGCCTTGGGGGCAGCCCAAACAAGGAGGACAGGAGGCTGAGAGGGCCTGAAGAGGCAGGAAGATGCCAGGGAGAAAGCTCAGCTTCAGAACAGACCTGGGGGTGGGGAGATGGCAGCTCCCAGGGGTCCCAAGCAGACAGGCAGGGCAGTGGGACCTGGGAGGCAGCCAAGACCTTCAGGAATCAGAAGCCAGGTGCCCCCTTGGAGACCGGCAAGGAATCTGAGGCAGGGCCTGGGGTTGATAGATATAGTAACAGCCAGATCCAGGAGAGTCAAGAGCCCGATGAAAAGGAAGTGAACAGAGGAGAGACACTGAGAACCTGGGAACAGGAGGAGGAGGAGGAGGAGCAGGAGGAGGAGGAAGAGGTCAGCGAAAGAGAGCCAGGGGTGACTGGAGGGGTGGAGTCAGAGTCGACCTGGCACAGGGAGCCTGAGCAGAAAGCCAGTGCTGACGCACAAAAGGTAGCAGGTGACATCAAGGAGACAGAACAGGCTATCAGGGAGACAGTGGCAGAGAACATTCCAGAGCCTGGGGTCAGAGGGGATGGGAGGGAAGAAGAGGTGGTGATCACAATGATGAGTGGTCAAAGCGCAAAGGCTCAGGGGACATGGGAGCCAGAAGAATCAGAGCACTGGGAAACCTTGGGCAGTCAGAAGGCCTGGACAACCTCAGGCAAGGAAGGGGGATGGGCAACATCAGGCAGGGAGGAGGCAGACTTCCTAGGAGGCAGCGAGACAGAATATGGGGCAGTCTCAGGAGAGAGGATCCCAGAGGGTGCTGAGAGAGTCTGGGTCTTAGAGGAGGAGGAGGTGGTGGATGAGAAGGGAGAGGATGAGGTAAGCCTGTTCCTTGAACAGACCCAGGTGCCAAGAGAGGAAGATGAAGTTAAGGACCAGATGGGAAGAGTGCTAGCAGAAGGTCAAGGGTCAGAGGGGGAAGTAGAAGAGGGAGTGGAGGGCCTGGCAGATCAGGGTGGGGAAGAAGCCAGGAGGAAGCATGATGCAGAAATAGGGGCTGCTCAAATCAATCTGGAGGAGGTGGTACAGGCAGAGGAGGCCAGTGAAGGGAAAGAAAGGTGCTGGGCCACAGAGCCCGAGCTGCTTCAGAACAAAGAGGAGAGTGAAGGTGATGCAGACGTGGAGGCAATCCCAGAGGCCACGCCTGAGGAGTTGACAGGGAAGGGGAGTGAGGAGGAGATTCCATCGGATCAGGAGACATTGGGAGTGGAGTTGGGTGACTCCAAGGATGAAGCTGCTGAAAATCAGGGACCTGAGCTGGCGGGAGGCCCCCAGACCCCAACAAAGCAACCTGAAGAAGAACAGGGGGCTAAGGAGGTGCTCTGGAGCCATCCAGCCCTGAGCAAAGAGGGCCTGGAAGGGGGCCTAGAGGAACACCCCAACACCACGTGGCATGTGAAGCCAGACAGCTCTGAGGCAGAACAAAGAAGGGACACAGAGGGAGGCAATGCCCAGGGGGGAGAAAATGTTGAAGAGGGGGCGGAGGAAGGTGCAGGAGGCAGAGAGTGTGCACTAGCAGGAACCCTGGAGAAGAAAGCTAAGGAGGCAGAGGAGGGAGGAGCCCCTGGAGGAGAGAACCAAGAGCTGGCTGGGAGGCTTGGGGCAGACGAGTCAGGTCTGGGGGGATCCGAGCCCAGCGAAGCCAAGGATGAGGAGGTGGAGGCTGTGATGCCAGGGGCTACAGACAGAGCGTCCAGGGGAGGAGGCAGCCTGGAGGAGGCCCTAAGCGTCCAGGACACGGTGGCCAGTGCTTTGGGCGCTGAGATGGCAGAGCATGAGGATGCTTTGGAGAGAAGGGCAGCCGCCATTGGGGAGGGGCCAGAGAGACAGGCTGGCGACGGTTGGGATGGGGCCTGGGACTTAGAAGGGGGAGAGGCTGTGGGCAGGGGTGAGGAGGCGCCAGAAGCTGCAGAGGGAGAGAATGTTAGTGAGCAGGAGTTCGGCCTGGAGGGCTCCAGGGAGGAGGAGCTGATGGGTGGAGATGGCCAAGCAGAGGCTTTTGAGGAGAGAGTTGGTGAGCCAGGGGGAGAGCAGATGGAAGCTGGGGAGCCGGGCTTGGCAGAAGGAAGTGGCGGGGTGAGTGGCTTTACCTTGGGCGCTCAAGGGGCAGGGGCGCAGGAGACTGTGACCAGATTGGAGGCTGAGGGGCTGCAAGGAGGGCAGCTGCTGCTGGAGGAAGAGGCAGGGGAGCAGCAAGCAGGGGAGCAGGGGCAAGGAGGTGAGGGGCAGTGTGAGGACCACAGGGCTGAGAGGGAGGCAGGGAGGCCCCTTGAGGAGGAGGATGTTAAGGTGCCTGGAGACCGGAGGCCAGAGGTCGAAGAGATTGATCCGGAAGGCCTGGAGGGTGTCCAGGGCCAGGAGGGCCAGTCAATGACCCAGATCCCTGCGGAGGTGGAGCCTGGGCCCCGTGGGGAGGCCGAAGGAAGTGCGGAAGGGGACACTCCCACCAGCTGGTGTGAGGTGAGAGCTCCAGGTGGGTGGGCTCCGGCCAGTGCAGCAGGATCCAGAAACCACCCCCTGAGCGCCCCGTGCCCCTCCCTGCAGGCACTGCTCCCGGGCTCTCTCCTGGATGTCTCTGTCCCAAGGAGCCGAGTACTCCTGTCCCGCAGCTCTTCACAGCGACGCTCCCGACCCTCTTTCCGTGGGACCCCTGGCCCCGAGCAGCCACAGGAGGAACCTTCCAGCCCCCCATCAGAAGAAGAAGGGTTGTCAGCCCCTGAGCAACTTCTTCAGCCCATGGTGCCCCGAGAGCCAAGTCCCCCAAGGCCAGAAGGAATCCCAGCCAAGAGAAGGGCCCTGGGACATGGGTGAGCACTGGGTGGGGTGGCTGGGCGGGGAGGAGAGGAGGCTGCTGGCTGGCAGCCAGCACCGCGGTCTGTGTTCTGTCTCCAGGTTTGGCCTTGCGCACGCCGGCATGATGCAGGAACTGCAAGCCAGGCTGGGCCGGCCAAAGCCCCAGTGACTAGAAACCCAGCTCCCTGGAGCCAGGCCCCAAGTGAGGGGCAGAGGCCTTGTGTGAACCCTACTCAGTCTGACTCCCAGGCCACTTTGGACACATCTTCTCCTGCCTCTGGGTCTTAGTTTCTCCGAGTGTCATTCACGGAGCGCTTGGAACCAGACATCTGCAAGAACAATGAACTTAAGGAGCCTGATCTCTCACACGGCTGACAGACGACCTGCCCCCCAGGACAACCTCTCACAGCCTGCCTGGACAACTTTCACAACCTGTCCCAGCTACCTGGAAGTCTATAGGGAATGAGACCCTTCTCGCCACAACCTTCCCTCTCTGACTGCCTTCACCCCCCTCCCCAGGCCTTCAGCTGTGTAGGAATAACGCAGCCTTCTGGGGCTGAAGCCAGTCCAGATTAAAGGGATCAGGCGGGTATAAGGAGTTCCATTTGTCATCAGAAGTTGATGGAAGACACATCAGTACCTTGAAATGTCCAAAATGGGAGCTCAGCCTTAGACATCTTCTGGTTGCTATGGCAACTACCGACTGAGCAAGCCAGAGTAAAGGAAGGTGGGCCAACATTTAGAAACAGAGGGGTTCGGGTTCACGAGAGACTGCAGACTCCGTCCCTCTTGCCCTGTGTAAGAAAAGAAACTGAGACAGAGAAACAATTACAGTGTTTTATTGGGCACCCAGCATGGTGGCCTAGCCCCAGGACCACCAGCAGGCCCTGGAACAATAAATAAACCATCACTTCCCTCAACAATAAATAAATATCCAAGAAATAAATATCTGGCAAGGGCTGGAGGGGCCTTAAGTTATTGGGTAGAGTATGGGGTGAGAGGTTGGGGGACTCCCACTTTTTCTGAGCTGGAGGTGTCCTGCTGTCCCAGAACGCCAGCCCTAACATCCCGAAGGGTGACAAGAAGGGGCTATGGTGGAACTCCACAAGGTCTGGGAGCCAGGCGTGGGTACCCCAAGGTCTGGGCTGCGTTTCCAGCCTGGGAGAGCAGCAGCAAGTCCCGCACAGCCCGAGACAAGACAAGTTCCAAGGCGTGCAGCGCCTGGTAGGTGTACAGGAGCTGGGGCCAGGCCAGCTGGGCGGCCATGGGCGGCGAGGGGCCTCCTGGGGGCCCTGGGAGCCGCTCCTTCCTCTCCTCGTTCTCCTCCTCCTCAGGAAGGTTGAGTCCTGCAGCCAGCACCTGTGAGGAGAGGCCCCGTCAGAGTGGCCAGGCTGAGAGCCTGAGTGAATCCTTCCCTTACGAGCCCAGGTGCAGAACGACCTCACAGACCACAAGGTCATGATTTCCCTGGACAGCCCCAGTGCCGGATCTTCCATGATGTCATCCTCTCATGTGTCCTGCTTGATTTTTTTGGTTCATGAAAATAGAAGTCACAGAGTGAGATGGTGCCTGTGACGCTGGGTCACTCCTCCAGCAGTGCTGTGGGGATTTGGGACTCGGGAAGTTCTATGTTGTTAAGGATTGTTAAGATCTAAGGTTCTTAGAATTAAAGATGGGCAGACAGGTGATAAAGCTAGTTTTATGCTGCTTGCATTTTCTATTCTCCTTTCAAATTAAGGGTAAAATTCCAGTTTCCCTTGGAAATGTTCAGCGGGCCAAGTGACGTCAGAGGATAAGAGGGAGAAGGAAACCAACTTTGCCACAGGCTGATGTCAGATGCTGGGCTGGGTGTTGTCTTATTTAAGGCCAACAGCCCAAGAAGAGCTGACGATTCAGGGATTCGGGGGCAGAGCTGGGTCTAATGTAGCTGCATTCTCTGTCTCTCTGCTGCTCCTCTCAAGACCTACTCCACCTACAGGGTGCTTTTAAAAAGGGATCCAGGGCCCTCCCTGGTGGCACAATGGGTTAAATCACAACACTATAAAGCTGTGCAGAGCCACTGCAGCATGAGTTCGATCCCAGCTGCGAAGGTGGCCCACATGGTGTGGCAGACCTCTCCTGCCTCTCCCGCTGTGTCATTCGTTGATCTGCCTGTTCTGCCCCCACTCTGTCTCTGGTGAACTCTCTCTGGTGAACCCCCGGCATCTCTGGCCTATACCCCAGTTCTTGTATGCATAAATAAATAAATCTTTTTAAAAAATCACAATTGATTAAAAAAAAAGGGATCCATGAGCCTCAGTTTTGAGAGTTGCTCCCTGGGAGTTCGCGGGGTGGATAGACACTCTACCTGGAAGCGGAGATGCCTCTGCAAATCTCGGAGATCCAGCCCTATGGCCCACAGTTGTGTCCTCTCTGAGCTGGGCCAGTCCCCTTGGCTCCCCAGCCTGCCCAACAGGGCGTGGAAGGGGCGGAGGGTCGTGGAGAGGAAGCAGAGTCGTTCTGGGTCCTGCAGGAGCATAGGGCATTGGCTAGGAAAGGCCACAGGCCAAGCATGACCCACTTCAAAGTCAGCTTCATCCAAAGCCGCGTTCCATCACCGAACGCCAGTCCTCACTCCAGCCCCACACTCTTCCCGGGCTCGATGCCATTCCCATCCGCTGTCTGGCCTGTGACCTGCCTCCTTCTCCAGTCTCCCTTGCAGATGCAAACTCACCTGCAGTCCAGGCCGCACCGCCAGCCTATCGCTCCTGAGCCCTAACTTGCTCCATTCCCCCCTCCACCCCCAGCACCTCACTGTTCCTTTTATTTGCACTCTGAACCCAACTTTATCCCTCCACCACAGTCCATGTCAACAGCTTCCCACCCCATCTCAAGCTCCACCCTCACTAGCAATTCCCAGCTCTCCTCCATTCTCTACTGGGTAGTCACTGTTGTCTCTAACCTTCCCCAGCCCCATTCTAGTCCCACCCCTACTTCTTCTCACGCCCAGCTTTATTCTCAATATTTTTCTTTATATCCAAATGACATACTCATCAATCTCATCCACATTCTAGCCTAAAGTCTGTCCTCCAGTTCTGCAATTCCTGATGTCAGCGCCATCCACCAGCCCAGCATTATTGACAGCTGCCCCGCCCCCCCCAACCAGCCCCTACTCACAGAGAGGCCACGCCAGGCCTGGAAGGTCAGGGAAACATTGGGGAGCTGCGCTCCCAAGGGCAGAAGGTCCAGGTTCACTCCTGGCAGATGAGATTCAGCCTGTGGGGTAAGGCCTTTTAGTGGGGCCACAGGGGGTTGGGAATGGCCCGTGCCCAGAGCTGGTGGCATTAGGGAGACTCACAAAGTGGTGGGCCTGAGCTCGAACCTCGGAGAGCAGCTTCCTGGCGAGATGCAGGCTGACCTTGAACTCCCTCCGCAGCTCTTGCCTCAGGGGGGCCCTCCCTGGGGGCCTTGGGAACCCCCAGATACCAGCTCGAGCCAGGAGCAAGGAGAGTAGCAATAGGCTAAACCCTGGAGAGATGGGGGGTGGATGGGTAAGACACGGCGGGCATGGGGAGGGAGCTTGAGAACTCAAGAGAAGGAAGGGAAGGTATCTTCCCAGCCTGTGCTGAGGGCAGACAGTGGGTATCATTAAAAACGCTAATGAAGTGGAAGCTGCTGAGGACAACCGATGGCTCTGTAGGGCTGACAGGAAAGTGAAGCTACCCTGCACTGGGTAGCACAGCCCCTCCTAGTGCCCACCTTGCACGTCCATCTCCAGCTGGGTCTGGACCTTTGGCTGAGAGTTTTTTCAGTGAACAGACTGCACAGCTGTACGAGGCCCCCGGGAGCTTCTCTTTTCTGCATTTGGCAGATGAGGAAAGTGGGTCCCAGGGAGGGTTACTTGTCCAAGGCAACACAGTGCGAGAGAACTAGTGCTGGGCTCCAGATTGGCGCGAGTGCCAAGCGTGCTGCCTGCCCTGCAGAGGTGCCAGAGGAGCCGTGGGCTCAGCCGGGCGATGCTGATGGCCTGAACGTGTGCCCCAGAGGGGGCTGGCAGTGCTGGAGACACTGGGCCAGTGAGCCAGAAGGACAGACTGCTGCGACCACCACCAAGACAGGCCGGTCACTGCAGGGTGGGAGGGAACTGGGGCGCCTGGAGGACAGGACCGGCTCTAGAAGTTTCTCCTCTGACTTTCCCTCGAGCAAGTCACCTGTTGTCTCTGTGCCTCTGGCCCCCATCTGTAAAGTGGGGGCCCCAGATTGCCTATTTCTGAAAGTGTTTTCTGGGAACAGGAAACAGCAGGAAGGAGGGCCCCAGGGTTGGAGCCTGGGGGGTTTCTCTCTCCAGGAGAAGAAACCGAGCTGTCCGGGAGTTACACAACTCTCCTCGAAACACAAGTCAAGAGCGGCCCAAGTCTGCCTGCCTCTCTCTTGCTTCCTGGAGTCTTCCTTATCTGTTCTTGATCTTTAACCATGACTGCCTTGAAATGTCCTCTCAGTAAAAACTACGGGGTACTCCCTCTTCCCCTGTGGCATTCCAGAGGTGGGGCAGTGACTGTGACCTCTAGTGTTTAGGGTCCCTGGCGTGGGGCCACTCTGGCATCCTGGAGACATAAGGCAGAGTGGATTTTCCTAGCTGCATGTTGGGGCAGAGTGGATGGCCCCCGGCTCTCAAGGGTATTGCCCACCTAGAATTGAGATGTGCCGCTTCCTATGGACCCTCCGCTTTCTGCCTAAGCTGTGGAGCTCCCCAGGCCACTCCCTGCAGAGCCAATATGGGGTCCTGCCCATTGAAAGCTCTAACCCCATCATTGGCCCTGGGCCCCTGCTCGGGACTGGCTGCCGCGCTTCTGCCTAAAATCTGTTTCCAGCCTCTGAGTCCTTAAATCACCATCTGCAGACTATACCTCTTTCCAAGTTTCAAACTAGAGGCCCTTGATCTAGTTCGGTCACTGGCTCCTCGGACCAGCCCTCAGCTCCTCCTATTGCTGTTTCGATAGCCAGCCCCCCCGTTTCAGCCAAGCTGTCTGGCCCCTGCTCATTCTCTCCAGGCAAACTCTTCCTTTCCCCGCAGGTCCTGCTCACAGTTCCCGGGCAACCTTCCCATCCACGCCAGTCAAGGCTACCTGTGGTCTGTCCAGCCCCTGCCACCACCACCCACCCTGGCCTCTCCCCCCTTCACACCCACGTATTCCCACCCTCCGTCCTGCTTTTTCCTGGGTCCTTAGTCTTGGCCAATGGGTGCCCCTCTGCCTCAGCTCCCCTTTACCCCAGTCGAGTTCTCCCATCCTCTGCCCAGTCTCAGCCCAGCCTCCCAACTCTGCCCTCAAACTCACGCCAGCCAAGGTCGCCTGCCATCTGGCCCATGGAGGGGCCCGGTCTCTTTGGACAGCCATCTCCCAAGTAGGGGGAGTCTTATACTGGGGGCTGCGCCCGGTTTCACTTTCTATCCTACTTGTACTTTCAGCTTTGCATTCACTCAGTCTTTTTTTCCTGACCACCCCTTGCTAAAAATGGGGAAATGTAATTTCCCTTCCCAGAGTGGGTGGGAGGTACAGGGGGGTGGCGGGAAGCTGGGGTTTCGGTTAATCCAATCTGCTGACCCCCTGCTGAGCTCCCTGCTCCAGCCCGCCCCTACTTCCCCACTCTTAGGAGAGGAGTCCTTCATTTGCTAGTGAACTCGGCTCCCTCCTGTTTTCTGCTCTGTCATTATGCTCCCAGGACTGTCACTAGTCCGCTGTCCTTCAAAAGGTAGATGGTCAGGTAAGGGGATTGCCCACCAAAGAGGACTCGGGGTTTGAGTCATCCGTATTCTCTGGTTTACCAGATGGCTGAGGGGGCAGTGCAAGGGAAGTCAGGGCTCAGGGGCGGCTGGGAGGGGGCCCTGCGTGGGGGGGGGTCTCAGCCTGCGAGGTCAGGACTCATGAATGAGTCCAGAGCCAAGGGCTCTGTTTTAGCCAGTCAGATGTAGAATTAAAGCTCAGTCTAGAAACAGAAGCAGGACTTGGCCCAGAGCTGAGCTCATCAGCAGCGAATACACCTCTCTGTTAGTGTTTGGGTCCAGAGCTGTCAGTGACCAGGGGCTCTGCTTGGGACTAGCCAGGCCTGGGCGCAGAGCTGAGTCCTGACCAGGCACGAGTGCTGTCTACCAAGGTCGTGGCTGAGCGTGTGACTCAGGTCAGGGCCCAGACTGGTCTGGGTAAAGCCCAGCGGATAAACAGGGCTGGGGCTCGGCCTGTGGCCTGTTTGCAATTAGGTGAGATCAGGATCCAGGCTCAGCCAGGTCCCAGAATAGCGCTGTTATCTCTGCAGTGTAACCGGCTGTCAAGGCTGAGCAGCTCAGCCTCAGATCCACCTTCCAGAACTGCTACCCTTCAGCCCCACCCTGGATTTCCCATCTTCAGGGAGAAGATGGGGTTTCTTGGTCTTCCCCAAGGCCCATTGCTGCCACTTTCCTTTTGGGACCTGTGGGGTTTCCCTGTTAGGTCCCTGCTGTGAGACAGAAACCAAGGGGGGCTTCCCCTTCCTCTACCCTGCTTCCGCAGGCCTGCCTGGGCACTGCCCACCAGCGTTGCCTTGCACCAACTGCCAGGGAAGTACCATCACATGCTGGAGAGCAGCCCAGCTACCCTGGAGAGCTGCAGAAGGCACAAGCTGAGCCCAGGGGTCTGCCTAGCTCAGAACAGCATCCCTGGCAGTGAAGGTCATTCCTTCACAACCCAGACAAATGGGGCTCCCCACCGGGGGATCCCAGGCATTCGGAGACTGATAGCGAGGACAGAGATTTTCCTTGAATCCCACAGCTGTCACCCTAGAGGCCTGGCCGCCCCCCTCACCCCTGGCTACAGCCACTCCTGACTCTACTATCACCCAGAACAGCTGCTCCCCCCAACACTGAATCCCCTCTCCCCTCTCTGACCTCACCCTTTGGCCCTCCGACCTCCTGTTAGGCTTTGCGGAGGCCTCCTGCCCCTGCCGCCTCTGGCCCTTCTCAGTCTGGCTGTAGCTGAAGCCTCTAGCCCTGCCCCTCGCTCCGTCCCTGCTCCTGCGCCAGCAGCTGGAGCCTCGCTCCTGAGGGTGGTGGGCTATCTCAGGCTTCCTGACCTGTGCACATGCTGTTCTCTGCTTTCTCTGGAGTTCCCTTCCCTCTGCCTTCCCTGCCCCTTGTCATGGGCTTTCTTCTCTGACTGCCTCATCCCTTCCTGCTACAAATCTTATTTCCAATGGGCATTTCTCATGTGTTTGTCTTGCGCACGCTATCTCCATCGACACCTCTCCAGCCACACTTGCCCCCTTTCTCCTCGAAGCTGCCAGGTATGCTCCTAACTCAGGGCCTTTGCACTGGTGGTTCCTTCACCTGGAACACTCTTCTCCCTGATAGCTATAAAGCTCACCCTGACCTTAGCTCTCGCTCAAATAGCATCTTCACCAATGGAGTCTTTCCTGAACACGCTACTACAAATCACAATGCTGCCCGGAACTCTCTGTGTCCTTTCCTATGTTATTTTTCTGAATAGTGTTTCAGATAAATAACATTTCCCTGTTTAATGCGTCCATTTCCATGCACTAGGATCCCACAGTGGTGGAATTTTTGCCTACTGGGTTCAGTGATGGAGCGAGAGATAGTAGGTTCTTAGTGCCGCATTGACCAAACCTGCCTTCTGCTACAAGTGCCTAGTCTGGCTTCTCCTCATGGCTGGTGATCTGAAATCTGCCTGTGTGGAGCAGCAAGTCTGGGTCCACCCTAAGTCCTGAAGTCTCACAGTCAGACTTCTCCCGCGTCGGCTGAGGGCCACTAGGTAGGGAGGAATGTAATATGCTCCTGGGCTTCTGGTCACCATCCTGGGCTGATGAGTTTAGCAGATGCTTGACGAGATGCCAGATGGTCAGTGAGGGCATCACCAGCCTCTTTGTCCTTGGAGAATGTGCCTGGACCAGTCTCTGCTTACTTGGCCCTGTTTCTGCAAGTGGATCTTGGGTGGGCTGAGGTAGGGCCTGGGGTGCACAGGAAATGGTAAGGATGTCGTAAGCGGTGAGGTGTGCTGGAAAGGAAGCCAGGAATCCTGGCTATGGGGTCCAGTGTGTAGTTAGCCTTCTGGTGACCTCAGGTGAGTCACACACTTGTCCTGGACCTCAGTTTCCTCATTGAAAAACAACAGCAAATTTCAGCGGCTGCCACTATATTACGTATTACTATTAAAACCTACATGATTGAAAAAAAAAGAGGAAAAGAGCCATCCTCCAATTTTCAGATTATTTTCCACGCCCCATTACGGCTAAGTGTGGGGCGCTCCATGAGCTTGCGTGGGAATCCTGAGACCAGGAAGCAGAAGTTAGAAACTTTAGATGTGACATCAGGATGGAATCAGGGAGGGGAAGTCTCATTCAAGGTCACATAGTAGATAAGTGACAGGATGAAGACTGGAACTTGAGTCCACCATTTTCAGCTCAGCTGCTGAGGGAAATCCCTGAGCTCCGTGACGTCAGCTCCAGGACTTGGAACTAATCTTTTAGTGAAACCAGACGGTGTTTGGTGAAGGCAGGAAGGCACCCACCACCCCCATGCAGGCATTGAGAACCGAGTTTTGGCACACGCCATCCCTGGAGCTGCATGAAAATCAGAGTTTTGGCCCTGACGGCCAGTCCCAACTTCTGTTGTGCACATGTACCTCCCACCACCCCAAATTTGGGGCCACCAGGACTGATTCTGTAGTATATGCCCGTGGTGGCAGCCAGGTGACTTGGGTGTTTCACTCCCTCCGCCTGCCTTGGGGGCTGCCCTAAATGTGGTGTCTCTGGGATGCCCACACTGGGAGGCAGAGCCTGGCAAAAGGAAGGATTTTCTCTCCCTTGGTCCCAACTCCCTTTTCCATTTAAGGGTGGCATTTTCACAGCAATGGCAGGCACTGTGAGCTCCCAGGTGAAAGGAGTGGGAGCATGGCAGGCACTGTGAGCCCCCAGGCACTGACGGATGAGATGCTCATGGCTGGGTGATCGGAGTAAATGACCCGCAAATGCAGGGGCAGTGAAGCTGAGCTATGCAGGTGGGAGCAGAGGCTGGGAGGCTGGGCTTGTCAGTCTGCTGAGTACCAGGAAGAGTTGGCAGCCCAGGAGGTAAGGCTACAGAGGAAAAATGCCAGCCTGGGCATGAAAAGTTCCGATTCAAGTCCCAGCTCTGCTCTGCCCTTTCCCTGTGTTCTTCTTAAGCAGCTACCCAAACACCATGCTTTGGTTTTCCCAATGCCCATCTCCCGGCCTAGATTTAGGAGGGTACAGGGTGTCCAGGTCAGGACCCCACAGGGCATCAGACAGACCTACACTCTTTTAAGCTCCTACATGGTCCCCTATGACCTCAGACAGAACCCCTTGTTTGGATTTTGCTTGGTGCCCAAAGTTGCTGCTGGTCAAGCCAAACAGGGAGCCTCTCACTTAGGACAAAAGTCTTGGTATGAGGATCTCTGCTGAAAACAGCAGGCAGACATTATGGCCAATCAGACCACCTTGAAAGGAAGGTAAATGTAAAATAAGGACTAGGGATAGGATGCTTTGATCAGCAGCAACAATGGAACCCCCCAAGCACAAGCCCCTATTCACTCTCTCTAGATTGTGCTGGACTATTATGCCTCCGCAGTCCACATCCCACCACGCACATTCTTCACGCATTCCTCCATGGACTTGTCCACCTTCCCTGAATCAGAACCCCAAATAAATGTGAGACTGGGCAGGGGTGAGGAGTGAGGGGGATAACATTGCATCTCCAGAAATGTAGCTCCTCAAGGCCTCTCTCTCTCTCTCTCTCACTATTTGGATTTTGATTATTTTTCCTCCATCCTATGCCACTCCCAATGCTGCTGCCCCACAAGGCGACTGGACAGAGCACGGAATCCCCCTTGCTTGGCTCAGCTACCAGGTGAGGACACTACTTACACCAGCCCCATATGCCTGATGGGATGATGATGCCCATGAATGGCTGCTACCTACTGCTACATGCTGTGTGATCTTAGGCAATTTACTTAACCTCTCTGTGTTTTGGTTTCATCATCTATAACATGAGGAAACTGATACAAACTCCAAAGTCTATTTAAAGCACTCAATGAGTTATTGTTTATAAGCTGCTTAGAATAGGGCCTGGCGTGTGGTAAGTCTTTGGGTTTTAGATATAGTAGTAGTACAAGTCCTGACCCACAAGAAAGCACTCAGGAAATGTGAGTTGTCATTAATAAAGGCGTGCTTGTCATCAACAGGCAAAGAGGGGCCAAAGGGGAGCTGGAGGAAAAGGGGAACGGGCAGAACAGAGTGCAGACTGCAGCTAGAGCTTAAGGCATAGGGATGGAGAGGGGGTATAGTCAGAGGGTACCCAGAGCAAAATTCAAGTCAGAAGCAGAAATTGCAGGGAGCCAGGTAATCAGACCCTGGGCCAGGGTGTGGATAGCCTCAGATATAAAGGCCACTGGTCAGCAGGCTTCCTCAAGCCTCTGTAGGAAGAGGACCCGAAAAAGAAGCAGACCCGGCCTGGGCTGAGTCGCAGGAGAGGCCCTGCCGGTAGTCTGCATTGGCCTGAGGAGACTGGGCAGACAACAGGTCGACCATCAGGCCCGCGACCACAGGCCAGGCCTTGGGCCCTGACCCAGTGCTCTGCATGGTCTCAACTACTCTGGTCACCACATCTCTTCTTGTCTTGCCCAGTCCATGCGGAACCCCCAGGTGAGTGAACTTGTTCACACTCCCAAAAGGGACACAGCCACTGACTCTATTTTTACGTGCTATTTATGACTCAGGTAAAAGGATGATGCCACATGGAGGTCTCTGCTCACTCACTTTCTTCCTCCTGCCATAGTTCTGGCCTTGAGACCTGAAGGGCCACAGGGCCCTCGTAAAACTGCACAACCAGATGCCAGGGAACCTGAGATAAGCTGAATCAGTGAGAAGCTGACAACAGTGAAGAATTCCAGCAGATCAGCACCCAGCAGGAAATGATGCCAGCAGATCCCTCTGGCAGAAGAGACTCCCATCGCTTGCTGTTATGCACCAAAAAATTCCAGCAGTAGCCTGACCCTGTAAAGACCTTCTCTCCCAATTTCAGGCCGCGATTCTCACTCTGCAGCGGCTGAGAATTGCCCTCACAGGCATTCGTCAAATAAAGCCTGCTTCAGTCTGATACCCGTGGACACCCTTATTTTCTAACAGGTGCCAGCAGGCGCTCTGCATGATAGATGCACGGGTTTCCTTGGCTTCTCCTTCACTTGGAGTAAAAGCAAAAGCTTTTAGGTTTACAAGCTCCTCCTGCACACACAGGGCACCTTCTTGCCGCAGGGTCTATTCCCTATACCCAGAATGTCCTTCCCTCAGTGTTTGTAATAACTGGCTCCTTGTCTCTCACGCTAGTCTCACCATCAGTGCTTCTTCCCTCTGAGGTACTACAGAGGGTACATGTGGCTGTCCCATCCCATTCCCACCTACACTGAGCCCCTGTGCACAACCCTAAAATCTACATGTTAATTGGAATCAGCCCAAATGCCCAAAAGTAGATGACTGGATTAAAAAGATATGGTACATACACACGCTGGAATATTACTCAGTGGTCAAAAAGATGAACACATGACTTTTGCAGCAACATGGATGGAGCTGGAAGGGACCATGCTTAATGAAATAAGCCAGAAAGAAAAACAAAAATACTGGATGGTTTCACTCATAGCAGGAGCATAAAGGACCAGGGGGAAATAATAATAATAATAATGAACACTATGTACCAGAGACATTTTACAGGGGTGGAGTGGGGAATGGGATAAAAAATGGGAGGGGGGAGTGCACGGGACTATGGTGATGGCACATGGGTGAACTGGTGGTGGGAAGCTCTTGGGGATTGCAACTGAGAAGGAAAAAGGCACAAAATGATGTAAAAATAAACTACTATAATAAAAAAATCTACATGTCGTAACTTTCAATTTTTCTGCACATTCTGGGCCCTTCCCATACCCTCAGGGTCTTCTCCAGGACTTCACTCACCTCATCAGCTATCTGGCAATGCTGATATTCCTTCCAGGTTCTGCACTGAGGTGGTACATCTGGGTAGGTGAGGGGAGGGCAGAGTAGGGGCTGAACAACGAGGTGTGGGAACCAAGGTCCGTGGCCTCTAAGGCAGCGCCTGGCTGAGAAGACGAGTCAAACATGCATACCAGGGAGAACATGGCAAAGTAGGGCCATTTGTCATTTACTGGAAGATTCTGTCTGTCCATCTCTTCACTTGGAGAATAGATACTGCCGTACGTTCCTCATAGAGAATGAGAGAATAGATGTTTGCCCTATTGCTCTGGAAACCAGAAAGTGCTGCTAATATTAAGAGCTCATAAAGCAAAGACTGTCAGCTGGCCAGTGGTGTGACGCTGAGCAGAGAATGGCCTCCCTTGGGACAGGGTCAATGTTGGTGATTTTCACCTGCCCACCCATTTTTCCATTCGTGTAAAATTAAAGCAAGCAAGCACATGGTTTTCCTCTGAAGAACCATCCGTCCTCTTTCTCAGGGGCTGATACCCCCAATGTTGACCTAAGTCCCAGGCCCAGCTAATCAGGGTGGCCCCGGCCCCTTGCTATAGTGAAACATTCAAGGATGGGGTCACAAAACCTGAAGAGACAGTCCCTGGACTTGCTGCCAGAAAGGGGTTCCCTCTGCAGGGAGTGCTGAGCTGGGAGGGCATGAACCCGAATCTGTGGGAGCTGCGCCAGGGACAATCTCGGCCCAGATAGGAGCCAACACATGGAAAGCAGAGCTGAGGGGTGGAGAGAGAGACAAGAATCCTGATGACCTTACTTACTTGTGTTTAAAGATTTATTTATTATGCCTATAGAACTGAGGTACAGGCCAGAGGTGTGGGGAGGGTGAGAGAATTCACCAGAGACAGTGGGGAGTGGAACAGACAGATCACTGAAAGATACTGCTGAGGGGAGCAGCGGGCGGGCGGGTCAGGAGAGGTCTGCTGTGCCCTGTGGGTCACCCCCTTGCCTGGGGATTGAACTCGGCTTCAGTGGCTGCAGAGAGCTTCATAGAGCTGTGCTTTAACCCATTGTGCTACCAGAGAGACCCCCCCAATTATTATTTCTTTTGTGCTCCTGGACCCAGCGATTCCTGAAGCACAGGCTTGTTTGCGGTGGTGTCTCTGCCAGCTGCAGCTTATCGGCTTTGATCCACCGTCACAGTTAATCCCCAACGTTCACATCACAGGTCGGATTGGAAAGTCGTGATAGTATCACGATAATAGAGCATCATATCCTGTATGATCAAAAAGTGTCAAAAAGTGTCGTAGAAAGAGTCAGGAGTCTGTGGTCAGAGCATTTCACAGAGAAAAAGCAGTGTGAACAGAGTAGACACTCAGTCTATGTACTAAGCCCAGCTCAGTGTGGCCTGGACATTGTCCTGGGTACTGGAAATACAGCAGTGAGTGAGTCAACAGGAAGCTCCGTCTTCACGCAGGTTACGCTGAATTAAATAGAATTAAAATGATAACTAAAATGCAATCAAATGCTCATAAGTGCCAGGTGCTTTCCGACTATCAGCTCTTTTAAGTCTCACAATGACCCTGTGTTGTAGGTATTGTTACTCATCCATTTTATCCCCAAGAGGGAACTGCTACTCGTAGGGGTTAAGGCCTTGTGCCCAAGGTCAGAGCCACTAAATGGCAGCTCTAGGATTTGAAGCAGGATGTCTGACCTTCCTAACCGTGGCACTCTACCACATGCAAAGTGGTTGGCTTTATGAAGCCTGTTACTGAGCCTTCTGCAAGTGCCAGGCACTGCTCTGGTGACATTACATGTATAATCCTGAAATCCCCCAGACAGCCCATTGTACAGATAAGGAAGCTGAGTCTACACAATAGTTAACAGAATTTAAACTTCAACCACACTCCTCCCCCCACCCCGGCTTTGATGCGGTACAACTGACAAAATGGTAAGATATTTAAAGACCCCGTGTGAGGCTCTGATGTATGAGCACGCGGTGAAAGGACTCGTGTTAACTGGCTCATCCATGGCCTCACACACTTGCCCTTTGCTTTTGCTTTTGAAGGAAACGTTTAACTTCTCAGCAGGTTTCATCTGTACATCAGTGTTATCAGCCAGTGCTATACATTGGCTTCTGAGTTTCCACATGCTAAATCACCAGATGTGCTGCCTCTAGTGAGCAAACAAAGCCAGGATGAGGGGGCAGAAAACAGAGCAGACCCAGCAGTGAGGTCTGGAATGACACCAGGTTCCGCCAGGCTGAAGCCCATCCCTCCCCTTCCGCATTCACTGCTCTGCCTGCCACCTGCTGTCCACAGCCGGGCCTCCTGTGTCCCTGGAGCTGAGGCTCTTGTTAGGTTGACTGGAAGCCAAAAGATGCAGAGAAGAGACACGGTGAGAGGGCAGAGAAGAGGAGAGGGGCAACTCAGGAAACATCCCCACTCCCGGGCTCATACATCCCCCTTGGCCATGCACCGCGTTCTGGAATTGCTCACCTGTCCAGAGCAGGCAGGGGCACTCCAGGCCTTCTCTCGGCAAGTCCTCAGCAGCAAAGAGGTGGGTGGAGGCAGGTCCTTGCTGCCAGAGAGAGGTCAGGAGTGGCGGTCAGCGCTACACAGGCTTCCTGCACTGCCTCCTTGCCCCGCATCTCAGCACTGATAGATGTTGTGGGAAAACTGGCCCAGTGACTAGGAGCCCTTCCCAGAGCTGGTTGGTCAGGCCTCAGTGCCCTGCTGCAGGCTCTGTGGTCTGAGCCACAGAACACAACTGTCCACTGGGGGGGAAGCAGGCCCAATTCAGTCCAAGCAGCAAGAAAAAACCGACTCCCTCCCACCCCCGGCGCCCCTGGTTGTCACTCAAAGGGGAACAGCCCTAAGCTCATCCAGACAGCACCAGAGGGCCCAGCCGCCGACCCGCTGAGGCCAGAGCCGATTCTGACGAGACCGCCTCTGACCAAACCTGGCCTAGGGCCTCCGCTCCAGCTTCACCTTGAAACAGCTGTGTGACTCCCAGCAAGTCGTTTTCCTTTTGAGTCTCAGTTCCTGTATCTGTGAAGTGGGAATGACTCTGTTTACCCGATGAGGTTAGTGGGAGCGTCAAATCTGTTGGGGCCTGGGTAGGAGAAACTGTGGAGTAGAGAGGCCTCAAGGGAAGGGCCGCTACCCGGTCAACGGAATTCCGACAGGCGGAGGTGAGAGGAGAAATGTCCCCAGCAGAGAGGAGGCTGTGAGATGAGACTGCCTCCGACATACTCGTTCATGAAGGTGGGCTGGGTCTTTCCCAGTGGCAGGAGCCAGCGCTGAGGAGAGGTGCCAGTAGGCATAAAGCACACTGGGAGCTGAGGTCCCGGCTGCGTGTTCAAGATCATGGGCCGTGTCAGGTGGGCTGTGGAGAGTCAGGTTAGGAAGGATGTTTATAGAGGGAACGTCAACTGCAGGAGAGCCCTGGGTGGGGGTGGGGCCCAGCAGCACCTGACTGGGGAGACAATAGGGTCGGCCTAAGCAGAGGAGGACACTATAGTCTCTGGCCTGGTCTCCATGGCTCACCTCAACCTGGCGCTCAATCTGTGGTCACTCAGCCTTCAGCCCTTCCGTGGCCTGAGGTTTCTCAGTCAGAGTGGGCCCCTTCTCTCCCCCCAGACAATGAATTATAAGTGACATATACAGCAGGTCAGATGGCACTGAAGTGCTCTTCAGGAAACAAGACTTTCAGCATCAATCACTCCCTTACTTCTGGCCTTTGCTTAAATGTCATCTCCGGGTGAAACTTTCCTTAATCAAATTTGCACAAGCCGTGGACTTGTTCATTCAAATTATTTGTCTGTCCCCACTAGAATGTAAGGAAGCTCCGTGAGGGAAGAACCTCCTACTGCCACATCCACAGCTTTTAGAATAGTCTTTGACTCAGTAACCTTTTGTTGAAAGAATAAATGGTTATTTCCTCAAAACATTCACAAAAAAAGAAAACAAAAGCTCTCCAAACCAATTCTCCAGAAAAGAAAGGGTAAGGTTGCACGCGGGGAGTGAGCATTCTGTCAAGTGACTACAAATGAGCTTCAAGTTTTTAACTGAAGTGGTTGGCCAAAGTTGGAAGGAGGCTATCTTTTGACTCCACTGCAGAACTACTTTTGTAATCAAAAAAAGCTAAGAATATCTCGTGACATAAGGGCTAAGTCTGAGTACTATCATGCTGTCACTGCTTTATCCTATTCTATCCCGGCCAGGGAGGTGACCCACAGGGCCAGCAGACCTCTGCTGACCACCTGCTGTTCCCCTCAGCAGTGTACTTCAGTAGATCCACCTGTTCTCTCCCCCTTCTGTCTCTGGTAAATCCTGTCACCACCCCCACACCCCCATCCTTATCCACCTCTGGCCTCCCAGGTCTCGTGAGCATAAATAAACAAAGTATATATATATATATTTTAAAAATAGAGAATAGGTGACAGAGATCTGGGTTCTGGGACCAGCCCCTGGAAAGAATCTTCCTACTTGAAGGCCGGCTACTTGCACAGAGACTCAGGGCCTTGGGGGGTTCTTGCTGAGAACCCCTCTTTGCTTGCTTTCCCTGAAATTCCCTGCAAGACCACAGAACTTTCTAGAAAGCCTGAGGCTTGTTGTCAGTACAGTTGCTCTACTCCTGGCTCCCCTGTGACCAAGATGAACTTATGCCCAATGTCTTTTTCCTCCTGAAGTGCCTTAGTAACTATTCATTGTGATAATGATAATCACTGACTGGATAATATTTTTATATACAGACCAAGTGGAGTTTCCCTATATTCCCATTTACGCCCACCCCATTCCTGTTTAATCAGTGAGGACCATGTGGTTTTCATCACAATGGTGAGGGGATGTCTGTGCAGTTTCATTTTTAGTTTAACAGACTTTGGGGACTCAAGGAGAATCGGGGATATTGAGAGCGTCAAAGTGACATAAGAGTACGGCAGATGTAGGGGGCAAACTTTAAAATATTCCCCTTGACAAGCAAGGAAGGAGGCGACTGGGAAAAGAAACAATTGAGACAAGAAACAATTGATGTGACCCATGATCACACAGATGAGTAAGAAAGCTGGGACTTGACTCCCCAAATCTGCATTCAGAGCCCATATCCTCAGCCTGATGCTTCCTCAAGGTCTTTTTCAGCGTCAAGTACCCTGCTAAGTGCTTGAATAAATAGTTTCCTGTGTTCTTACACCCAGTTCAGGAGGTGAGGGTAAACTTCCACACCTATTTATGGCAGAGAGAATGAGAATGCAGGGTTAAACAGTAACCTGTCCCAGGCCACAGCCAACTTGCAGACAGCATCTGGACATAGGCCTGGGGACCCTCAGGCTGTTCTGTCGCCCTAGCTGTGTAACCAACCATCCCCAAATGCAGCCGTGTGAAACACCCATTTGACTTTGCCTCTGGATTCTGTGGGCTGGGAAATGAAGATGGCCCATCTCTTTCCCAGCATCATGTCTCCTCTGGAGGACTCAGTTGCTGGGTTGACCCGACCGCTGGGATGGGAATCACACTCACAATGGTGATGCCTTCCAGCTGGGGCTTCAGCTTGGGAAAGCCTGGAACCCAACAGCATGTGGCTTTGCCATGTCATTTCTCTGTGGCGTCCTCTTGGCTTTCCTTGCAGCAGGGGGACTGGGTTCCAAGAACCCCGAACAGAGTGGAGTGCAGGGTGTTTTATGAACCACTTCCAGCATTCTCCATCAGTCAAGGCTGACCTAAGGGACCTCCCAAAAAGCGCACGTAGTTCTGTGCCACATCTTACAGGAAGGTGTCAAGAGACGTGGGGTGGGAACTTCTGCTGTGGGAGCTTTGGTCACTGCAATCAGAGGCAACACTTCTCACTGGCCCCCATATTTCTCTGTACGTTAGAACCACTTTTCAAAGCCCCAGGGCCCAACTCTACCCCTGGGGGTGGCAGCCTGCCATGGTGTTTTCTTCACTCCCGGCGGCGCAAGGAGGCCTCCCCTCCTCACTGTCAGCAGCTGCAGCACCTGGCTCTCCACACGGAGGACTCGGGCCCGAGGTGGCGGTGGTTTACAGGCTCGGCAGCAGGTCATAGCTAGGTGTTTCTTTTTACAGCCATCTCCTAATTGTGACCAACATAGTGGGTTTCCATTTTTGGTGGTTACTAGTTTCTTTTTAAATCCATTTGAGTAAAAAAGACAAGGTGATCATTTTTTTACATGCTGAGTAAATAGAGGCATCGCCCCAGTGCTCAGAGGACAGACATCACCAGGCCCTGCGTGAGAGACCGAGCTGGGGAAACCCTGAGGCAGACCAGCCGCCGGCAGCTCGGGCTCTCCCATTTCCAGTAACATCTTGAGGGAGTGCTGGCTGCTTGTCTATGTCGGGTGATTCTACAGTTAAAAATACATACCTTTGAGAAGGGAGTGGCAGACGGCACCATGGTGTCTGTGGAGACCCGGGGTGCGGTTCCCATTCTCTGCATGCACGAGGAGTCCTTTGAATGGTGGCGAGGTGTCCTTTGAATTGTGGCGACCTGACAGGGAAATTTCCGTAAGCCCTAGGGGGACAGAGAGGCTGGTCATTTCTCCAGTTCTCAGGAGGAGGCCAAGAAATTGGGGAAACAGACAATGTGTGCAATCAGGAGATAAAAAAGAAAGGGAATAAGACAGGAGGGGTTCTGGGAGTGCCCCAAATGACTCCCTAGTTCTCCTTGTGAGTTAAAGCCAGTCCCTGACACCCTCCACCCGAGGCCTTGATTTCCCCTTCTGCAAAGGGGTCCTTTCAGATCCAAACAGCCTGTTATTCCAAGAATTGTCAGATTCTAGCAGCAGGCACTGAAGACTCCCCAGGCAGAGGCTGTCCCAGGGGAGGGCTAGGTCTGGGAAGGCCAGTCAGCCAGGTCCAGGGGTGGAGCATGGGCCCCTGGGAGAGTCAAAGGACCCACAACACCAGGGTGGCCATGTCCAGCCAGGGACACAGCACTTCTCACTTTTGTCTTCTCGTTTGAAGCACATGTAGGAGAGAGCAGCTTCACCCTTTGGCAGGTGAGGAAATGGAGGCTTTGGAGGAGTAAGGGACCAAAAACTTCCCTCATTATTGGTACGATTCTCTTCAGGTGTGTGGTAAAAAGGGAAAACCTGGGCCTCCCTAGTAGCCTAGGGATTAAGTCTTAGTACTATCACTGCTTAGGCTAGAGTTCGATCCCCGATCAGGGAGCTGATTCACATGACGCAGCAGATCTCTTCTGTCTCCCCACTGCTCCCCTCAGCAGTGTATTTCAGTACATCTGCCTGTCCTGCTCCCGCTCTGTCTCTGGTGAATCCTCTTCCCCCTGCAACACACTTCTGGCCTGCCCCCCAACTCTTCTATACAAAATAAATAAAAAGGGAACAGCATCCAAAACCAGACCCACTCAAGTTCAAAATCACAGCTCCTACAGGTTGTAGCTGTGTGACTTTGGGAAAGTTACTAATTGTTCTGTAAAATGGGATTAGTAATGGCTTATTGGGTGACAGTCAGAATTACACAAACACCTATTAATGCCTGTAACTCCTGTAAGACACATGTCACTGAGTAGTAGCCCAACGCAAAGGAGCCAGTGCCTTGATTTCCAGATGCTGACATGTCAGATCTATGCTGCGTGGACAGTTCACTGCCCAGGGCTGCTGCCGCCATCTGCATCCTGAGTTCAAGAGCTGACAGTCATGCTAAGCTTGGATTCCAAGCAAACCAGGGTTTCCTTTGTCCCTCTTTGCAGTCGGTGCCTTCAACCAGGCACTGGTGAGGCAGTAGACATCCGTTAAACATGCATAAATTAATAACTCATGAGGTTCGTGCAGAAACTACACCAAGGTCCCTATAAAGTTCTGGATGTAGGCTTGCCGTGTGGGCACAGTCTGGGGTGGTGGTATGAGTGAGGGCAGCTGGAAGACTTTGAAGAGAAGGAAGCATTTGAAATAAACCTTGCCAGATGGGCGGGATTAAAGACATCTGGTAGAGAGATAGAAAGGACCAGAAAGAAACAAATCGTGTTCAAGGGCAGCTGGGAACGTCTACGTTCCTGTAGCTGCCCTGAGAAGGAATCAGGCAACTCAAAGGCAGCAGACTCCCTATCCCCAGTATTCAAGCAAGCAGGAGTGACCCCAGGGTGGGTGGGGTGACTCGATGCCTTTTCATGTCCTTCCCAGTGAGAGAGTCTGTGGTTGTTACTGGGCTGGATGGGAGGGCAGGGGTATTGGCAGAGCTCCCCAAAGGCTCGAGTTGATCCACTGTGCACCTCTGATTCCTCCTAAGGTACCCCTGTGCCCATGATCTTGGTCCTGGAGAATAGCTGGCTCCTTGAGTTTCTAAGGAAGGGCGGGAGAAGACAGAAAAGAACTAGGGCCAGAACTAGGGGATTTCTACCCCCCCCCCCAGTGTGTTGAATCTGTGAAAAACGTTTGTTAGTTTTTTCCAGTATCTGCTCTGTTTTCTTTAATAATAAAACCTTGGGCCCTCCCTGGTGGTAAAAGGGGTTAAAGCCCAAAGCCCACACTGCAAGCTGGCCTCAGCCGCTTGAGTTGTGAGTTCAGCCCCAACCCTGGGGCTGATCCACATGGCATGGGGGACCTCACCTGACCCGCCCACCCACTGCTCCCCTCAGCAGTGTGCTTCATCAATAAGCCTGTTTTGCTCCCCACTCTGTCTCTGGTGAATCGTCTCACTGCTCCTGCACTCTGGTCTGTACCGCAGTTCTGTATGCAAAAATAAATTTATTTTAAATCTTAAAAAAAAAGCCCTATTTGTAAAAATAAACTGTTATAAAATAAAAAATAAAATAAAAAATAAATAATAATAATAATAAAGGTCATCAGTAATTGAAAAAAAAAAGCCCTATAGATTTTTTAAAATAAATAAGTAAATAAAACCCTGCTCCCAGCAAATTTGGGCTAACTCATGGCCAAGGAGCCAAATCCTACATCTCCCAGCCTGTCCTGTATGGGGAGCTGCCTGGTGGCTACATTCTGGGCAGGTGCCATCTGTCCTATTTTTAGTAGGGGCCTTACAAATGAATGGGTGAGGCTCCCTGTCCCTTCCCGCTTCCTTTCCACAGGCTGAGATGTAGATGTAATGGCTGTCTTAAACCTTCAAGAGAAAGCCATGATTTGAGGGGGCAGAACAAGGAGTTAAAAGTAGCTGCCCTGGAAAATAATAATAATAATGAACAGCTATATACCAGAGACATTTTATGGGGGTGGAGTGGGGAATGGGATCAAAAACAGTGGGGGGAGGGAAGTGCACTGGACTATGGTGATGGCACCCGGGTGATTTGGTGATGGGAAACCCATGGGGATTACAACCGAAAAGGAAAAAGGCACAACATGATGTAAAAATAAGCTTATATTATTATTTTTTATTTTTTTATTTTTTTAAAGATTTATTTGTGCATGCAGAACTGGGGTACAGGTCAGAGGCTCAGGGGCGGTGAGAGGCTTCACCAGAGACAGAGCGGGGAACAGAA